AAGAGGGTGATGAACTCAGGTGGGAGAAGCGATAGGAAGGTCAGAGAAGGCACAATAGAGAAGGGAATACCGAGCTCATATTTTTAGGATAAGAGGGATGAGGTGTGTTGGTGGGTACTTAGAGGTAGAGAGTACTGTGTGTATAAGGGCTGAGCAGTGGAACCAGCGGGCCCCAATTTGAGAAACACAAGTAGGGCTGAATTACTGAAGCACCCACACAGGCAGAAGGGAGAATGCCTTTAAATGAGGCAGGAGAGGCTGGCAGGAGACTGAGGGCCACGTGGACCAGAAAAGAAACCTGGACTTTTTCCTGTGGGTTGAAGGGTCATTAAATAGCTCAACGCTCATGGGAGCAAGGACTTGGTCTTGTTCACCACTGTATCCCTAGTGCCTAGAGTCCAAAACACAGTATGTCATCTTAGTTTGTATTCACCCAAAAACAAACTTGAAATGAAGATGTAGGGTGTAGGTGGTCCAGGTGGCAGGTCATCCTTGAAAGCACGAGTGGAGGAAGTGGAAAGTGAGAGAAGGAAAGGAGAAAAGCCAGTGAACAGAAGGTTGGTGAGCAGGTTGTTGTGCGCAGTTGAGAATCAACCCTGCTGAGGACTCCTGAGGAGACCTGTGGAAGCTGTCTTGAATTGATCCCATCAAGGGGAGGAGGAAACACTGGAATACTTATTCACTAACTCAGCATTTTTTTTTTGAGACAGAGTCTCACTCTGTTGCCCAGGCTGGAGTGCAATGGCACGATTTTGGCTCACTGCATCCTCTGCCTCCTGGGTTCAAGTGATTCTCGTGCCTCAGCCTCCCAAGTAGCAGTAATTGCAGGCAGGTGCCACCATGCCCGGCTAATTTTTGTATCTGTAGTAGAGATAGGGTTTTACCATATTGGTCAGGCTGGTTGGTCTTGAACTCCTGACCTCAGGTGATCCACCTGCGTTGGCCTCCCAAAGTGCTGGGATTACGGGGGTGAATCACTGCACCTGGCTAACTCAGCCTTTAATGTGTTGAGGAATGCCCCTGAGGGTGGTAAGTCCCAGGCACTCTGGGCTGCTGGTGCACAGATATGCAAGTTCTCCTGGCATTCCAGAAAACCCACAGGATGAGAATCAGAGTGTTTCCAGGGCTTGAGGTGGGAAGCTATCAGCATGCAGATGTTGTCTACTTGTTGCTGCAGGTAACCTCGGAGATGGGTCATTGGATATGAGGCAGGGCACCTGTCTGGTCTGCTGCACAGGTGTTCAATATCTATTGCACAAATATGTCATATGTTTGTCTTACTTCCCTGCCTAGTCTTCAATTGCCTTCAATTGCCCTAGTCTTCAATTGAGGCAGGAACTGTGTATTGCAGAGGCCAGGCACAGTGAAGCACAAATCTTTAAAAATATGGGTTGAATAAAAGAAAGTAAAATGTTTGATGGGGAAAAGTAGGGTGGGTGGTGGTAAGAGTCAACTTAGCTAATAAAAATAGGTATAAATAAATGTGACTAGTTGAGCATTATATTTATTGATGTCCTTACAAAGTGGCAGGTGAGAGGACATAAACTGGCGGCATCATTGAGCCTGTATACTAAAGGACTCTCTCGTAATTTCTCTGCATTTCATGGTGGTGGGGCTTGATACTGTGCTCCCACTTATGAGGATCCGATGAGCTGACTACCCAGCAAACACTGAAAATTAACAAAACAAAACAGATAAGCTGAGTGTGCAGATGCTTTGAGAAACAAAACTCCGGGCATGGGACCTGTTGGAGTTTGGTTGGGTTGAACATTGGTGGCTAGACTCCCCTTTCTCAGGGGAAAATTGACCATAGGTACCAGAAGTTAAACGTGCATAGCCTTTGACTGCGGAAGTCTTTGTGGATTCTTGGGGTGGGGCTGGTTTGACTGCCCTGTGGGGGATCCTAATGCTAAAAGGGTATTATGGACCTCTGAAGGCAGCACAGGGTCCCAGGCCTGCTTGACCTGGGGTCTAGAGGGAGGGATTTCTTTCTGTCAGGGGAAGAAAGACCAGTAAGGCACATCTGAAGGCTGTGTGGGGATGCTGCCTTGCTGCCCACCCTTTCACCTGCTTTAGAAATGACCAATGGAAGGAAAAGGGCATCTGAAATGAGGCCTTTGGACAACCAGGGAGTGGCTCTCTGCATCCACTGCCCAGGCTTCCCTGCCTTTGGCTCCCACCTCTCCTACCTCTCACCTGGGAGGCTCTGGCTTGGTCCCCTGCCCCTTCATCCTGCCTCTGAACAAATCTGCTGAGTTTTCTTGAAAATTGTCTTTAATAACCCAGATTTGGTTCAGCCTGAAATGGTTCTTCCCTAGAGCATCAGGGAAAGTGTGAGGAATGGGAAGCTTCCCATGTGCCCTTAATCAGCTATGAGGTTGTGACTCAGAGTAGGAAATAGCTGAAAGACATCCTAAAATGGGAAGAAACAAGGGATTTTCAGTTAATGCACTGAGGCAGTGGTTGCCACCCACTCCCCTGCCCTTCCCCGCCAAGTGCAGAACCAGTCTCAATAGCAGTCTCAAGGCCCTTCACTTGTCCCCCATCTCTGATCCCATTTCCTTCCTGAGACATAGCAGCTCCTTGTTTGCACACTTGACAGAACCATGGCAACCAGACCGTGTCATGGGGTCAATCACAGGACTAATGATGTGGCCCAGCAGCCAATCCAAACTAAGGAGCCCAGCTGCCATGGTGATGGGGGGCGGGACCACCAGTTTCCTTGAAGGATTGAGGGGCTGGAGCACCTTTGAGGTGCAGGTTGCCCTGATGGAGCTCATCTAGAAGTTTCCCAGATCCACCGCCACGATCTTAGTCCCAGGTACTGAGGATCCCACCTGGGCAACCCGGTAGCCCCAGACAGGTCTACCTGTTTCCACTCTTGTCCATTCCAAAATCCATTTTCCAACAGCATCAGTGTGTCTTTATGAAACACTTACCACATTGCCCTACTCTCTTCCTTAAAAATCCTCCAATGCCTTCCCACTACACTGAATCACACCCGGCCCCCTCTCTATGGACTACAGGCCCCAAGTAGTCCTGGGCCTGTTCTCCAAGCTCATCTGCTATCACAGGCCTGTGTCTGTGTGGGTAACCGAGGAAGGAGAGCTGTGCAAACCCCAGGCTAATTTGTGCCCGAAGAATATCTTAGTTTATAGTGTTATTACTCAGTTATTTCCCTTTTATAATCCCTTTTATATAATCATATATTAGTTTACAGAATTAGCCCCTGAAGTATGACTTACTGCTTACATAGATCTAGCTTATATAATCATACTTAGAACTTACATCTAGCATACTTAGTTCCATATAATCTTTCTATATAATCATATAGGTATTGTAGTTGGAGCTGTACCGACACATTTAGTGCTGATTTATATAGTCCTTCTATATAACCATATAGTAGTTTGTAGTAGGAGGAATGCCTAGAGCAGTCACAAAGCGAAAGCAGTACATGGGAAAAGTCAGACCAGGACAGGAACCAAAGACTCAGGCGGTGGCGTCCCTGCCTGAAAGGTCATATGCTGTATGGCAGGCTTGGAGCAAGAGCCTCTACTGAAAAAGGAGTTGTAGTACCTTGAATCCAGTTCCTGTGGAAAGTAGGCCTCAGGCCTGAGATTCCGCACATAACCGAGGGAGCAGAACCCCTCTGGTGTGACCAGGTCACGGTGGCTGTACACCCTGTCAGCATTTCTCGCTTCTGTACTAGCTCAAATCATCCTCCCATAAAATATCTTAGAAAAGAGCACAAGTCTGTCAGCTCCCACTGCATTGGTTTACAGTAATTTTCTATAAGAATCCTTTGAAGTCTCCAGCCCTTAGTAAGAAGCGTTGTGCATGACACCTGTTGCACACAGCCCACCTCCCAGCCTTGGTGACCTAATGAGGGTGGACCCCTTTTTGTACACCACCCTCTACTACTGCGCCCAGCAGGGCCTTCTACTGCACTTGGCCCACCTCTCTGACTAGGTGACCTAATGGGGTGGCCCCCTCGCTTGCTACTCATGTGATTATGTATGCCCTATCACTAAGCCTATAGATGACCTCACTCACCCCCTGCCTTGTACCCAATAAATACAGACGCTTCTGGATGTTTGGGGCCTCGCCTGTGTCCACTCATTGGTGGCGTGGCCCCTCAAGCCCAACTGTCTTTTCCAGTCCTTCTGTGTACTGTCTCTTTACTTCTCAGATCCTGTGCCTCAGCACAGCATAAGGGACACCCTGCAACCCCAGTGGGGCAGTAGCCCTACATGTCTGTTCCCCCAGCATGCCCCTGAATCTCATCTAATAGCAGATGTATTTTGAAAACCTCTTTGCCTTGGGGACTCTTCCTCTGGATCTCCCCCTGGCTGCCTCTTTGTCATTTGGGTCTAAGTTTAAATGTCCCCTCTTTAGGGACTTCCTCAGCCTAAGGTGTGTGAAACAATCCAACCTCTATGGGGGTCGCTGAGAGGAAGGGTAGGGGCTGTTCATGGGGAAGGCTGGGAGTGAGAAGACAGGGGCTAGTCCTGGCTCCACACTTGCCCAGGCTGGACCTGAGTTCTCATCTGCAAAGATGGCTGGAGGTACAAGATGGGTAGTTTCCTATTTGAGCTCCAAAGGGCTCAGTGGTCCCAAGGAAATGCCTGAGAGCCTTGCCCAGGTGACTTAGTCAATGCCACAGAGATGAGCAAGGGGGTTGAGGGGGCTGATGTAAGAGGCTCTGGGCCCTCCTCTCTCACTCAAGGAGAGAAGTGCCCCCCGATACACACACACTTACATATATATATGTATACTGTGTATGTGTATGTAAGGGTGGGTGAGGTTGGGATTGGGGTCATGGCACACTGGGGATTCTCAGAAAAACAGAGAGCCCACATGTTTTGTTTGGATGGTTGTGTTTTTTGTTTTTTGAGACAGGTTCTCAAAAACCTGTCACCCAGGCTGGAGCGCAGTGGTGCGATCACAGCCCACTATAATCTTGAATTGCTGAGCTCAAACTAATCTTCAAGGCAGAAGGCTTTGGCACTCTGTAGCTCTGGAGCTAGTGTTTCCCCGTTCTATGTGTCCACCGATGATGAGTTCATTATTAAGACAGTTCAACATAAAGAGGCGGAGTTGCTACAGAAGCTGCTTCCAGGATACTACATGAACCTCAACCAGAACCCTCGGAATTTGCTGCCTAAATTCTATGGACTCTACTGTGTGCAGGCAGGTGGCAAGAACATTCGGATTGTGGTGATGAATAATCTTCTACCAAGATCAGTCAAAATGCATATCAAATATGACCTCAAAGGCTCAACCTACAAACGGTGGGCTTCCCAGAAAGAGCGAGAGAAGCCTCTTCCCACATTTAAAGACCTAGACTTCTTACAAGACATCCCCGATGGTCTTTTTTTGGATGCTGACATGTACAATGCTCTCTGTAAGACCCTGCAGCGTGGTTGTTTGGTGCTGCAGAGCTTCAAGATAATGGACTACAGCTTCTTGATGTCAATCCACAATATAGATCATGCACAACGAGAGCCCTTAAGCAGTGAAACACAATACTCAGTTGACACTAGAAGACCGGCCCCCCAAAAGGCTCTGTATTCTACAGCCATGGAATCCATCCAGGGAGAGGCTCGACGGGGCGTCACTATGGAGACTGATGACCATATGGGTGGCATCCCCGCCTGGAATAGTAAAGGGGAAAGGCTTCTGCTTTATATTGGCATCATTGACATTCTACAGTCTTACAGGTTTGTTAAGAAGTTGGAGCACTCTTGGAAAGCCCTGGTACATGACGGGGACAGTCTCAGTGCATCGCCCAGGCTTCTATGCCGAACAATTCCAGCGCTTCATGTGCAACACAGTATTTAAGAAGATCCCCTTGAAGCCTTCTCCTTCCAAAAAGTTCTGGTCTGGTTCATCTTTCTCTCGGCGAGCAGGCTCCAGTGGCAACTCCTGAATTACTTACCAGCCATCAATCTCTGGGGAACACAAGGCACAAGTGACAACAAAGGCGGAAGTGGAGCCAGGAGTTCATCTTGGCCATCCTGATGTTTTACCTCAGACTCCACCTTTGGAGGAAATCAATGAGGGCTCACCTATTCCTGATCCCAGTTTCTCACCTGTAGTTGGAGAGACTTTGCAAATGCGAACTACAAGTACAACCTTGGAAAAGCTTGAAATTGCAGAGTCAGAGTTCACCCATTAAGTGCAAAGCCTCAGAAGACCTGGATCAAGATTCTGTCATCTCTGTGATCCCACGATGTTAGCCTTTGCCCCAACAATGCTGAATTTTCTTCTACTTGATCATCAAAAAAGAAGTGTAGGGCCGGGCATGGTGGCTCATGCCTGTAATCCTAGCACTTTGGGAGGCTGAGGCAGGTGGATCACGAGGTCAAGAGATCGAGACCATCCTGGTCAACATGGTGAAACCCAGTCTCTACTAAAAATACAAAAAATTAGCCGGGCATGGTGGCGCATGCCTGTAATCCCAGCTACTCAGGAGGCTGAGGCAGGAGAATTGCCTGAAACTTCTTGCCTCAGCCTTCTGAATAGCTGTGACTACAGGCGCATACCACCACACTTTAACATTTTTATAGAGCAAGCATCTTGTTACGTTGCCCAGGCTGGTCTTGAACTCCTGGCCCTGAGTGATCCTCCCGCCTTGGCCTCCCAAAGTGCTGGGATTACAGGCATATGAACCACCATGACCAGCCCACAGAGATCCCATATGCCTTTTTTTAAACGTTGTACAACCTCGGAAGCAGATTTCTGCAGACCCTTCCATTTCTGTGCCTATGAATGATACAGAAGGAAGCCATCGGAAGCCCCAGTCCCTGTATCCTGAGTTGCTGCAGTCTATGAAAGGGAGACTATGAGAGACAGAGAAAGTGAGGACACCCTCCAGTGGGGAAATGAAGAATTTTCCTTCCATCCAGAACTGCTGACCCACCTTTATCATACACTGCCTTTAATCCTCACAGCAGCCAGGGAAGGTAGCCATTATGACCATTCCAGCAATGTGGAAGGAGGGCTTGCACAGCTTCAGTAAGTTCATGACTGGGAAGCAGCAGAGCCAGGGTCTGTCTGGGTGGAAAGCTGTGTTTCTTCCCATCCATTAGGCCTCTTGGAGAATCTTCTTGGAGAATCTTCTGGAAGCCCTCAGTGAAGCCCTATCAATACTCACGCTGCCAGTGTCTATCCCCTCCATCACCCTCCCTCCCTCTTGAAATAGCCTTTGCTGGGCTCAGTCTTCCTGAACTAGGCCAGGCCCTTACCTGCAGCGGGGCCTTAGTGTGGCTGGTCACTCTTGGTTCAGGACCTCTGAAACCCCTTCAGAGTTAAAGCGTTGCTCCTTGCTCACCCTGGTCATGGGGTTCTGATGGAAGGGAAGCTAGCAGCCAAGAGTGAGGAGAAAATGATGAACAGGCTCAAAGAAAAAGAGAAGGGGCCCAAGTGAAGGATTTCAAAATCGGAGGGAACCTCACCTTAGGGAACAAGAGTAGAAGGTTCTCCTTGTGCTTGCCCCTAGAAGACAAAGATTAAGCAGGGATAACAAAGAGGAACTGCACTTTCCAGCCTCTTCCCTGTGCAGACATCACTAATGGATCATGGATTCCTTCCGCTGGAAATCAGATGTGAGCTCCTATTGTTCCATTCCCTGAGCTCCCGACAGCTTCTACCTACAATCCTGATACTTCCCAGCTTCTCTGTCTACCGGGAGGTGCAGTGCAGCAGCCATAGGCCCAACACACCTCACCCTGGTGGCTTTGGTGGAAAAAAGCTGCCTACCTGCTCCTCGGACAGGCCTCTGGGGCATGGAGCCAGGGCGTGTGCTCTGTCTGCTGGGTCCTCACACTTTGAGTGATGCCATCCTTCCAGAACAGTCCTGCAGCGTGAAAGGATGGGGTGAGTTGACACTTGGGGCACTCTGGCCCATCCCAGAAACAAAAGTGTAATTAGAATTTTTCCTTTCCCCAAAATGTATGGTACCACAGTGCAGAGGGCCAGTGGAGGGGGTCGGGAGACTGACTGGGGTACAGGAGTTTGCCTTCTGCCCACCCCATGGCTTGAATCATTGTTCTTGGTAGCTCTGTGGCCATGAGAGACAATTAAACTTGCTGAGCCTATTTTCTCACTTATGAAATGACAAACCTCCTAAGATGGCTGAGAGAATGAAGGGACATAGCGCACACACATTTCTTGGCTTATCGTTTGGCATGCAATAAGTGACCAACTGGGAACTATATTTTAGTTTTACTTTAAATTTTTTTAGTTACATCTGATAGAAAGGGACAGATGGGAATTTTTAAATGCTGCTGCTGTGAGAATCAGATACAAAATGTGTTTCCAGGCCAGGCATGGTGGCTCATGTCTGTAATCCCAGCACTTTGGGAGGCTGAGGCAGCCAGATTACTTGAGATCAGAAGTTCGAGATCAGCCTGGCCAACATGGTAAAACCTCATTTCTACTAAAAATACAAAAGTTAGCTGGGTGTGGTGGTGGGCACCTGTAGTCCTAGCTGCTCCTGAGGCTGAGGTATGAGAATCGCTTGAACCTGAGAGGCAGAGGTTACAGTGAGCCAAGATCACACCACTGCACGCCAGCCTGAGTGACAGAGTGAGACTCTGTCTCAAAAAATAAATAGATAAAAATAAAAAAGAGTGCTTCTAGAACCCTAGATTTACCCATTATACGCTATGATTATTAGCAGTAATTTGAACTCAAAGCAGATCTCTTTTCTGAAGCCTGAAGCCACACACGCTGCTTTCAGGAAGGGTCAGATACTTTTTCCCAGTATAAGTATCCTCCTGCTCTCCATTGCGGCCTTTCATGTCTTCCACTTGTCATTCTCTCTGAACTGCTCACTACCTTTTTTTTTTTTTTTTTTTTTGAGGCAGAGTCTAGCTTTGTCACCCAGGCTGTAGTGCAGTGGCACAATCTGGTCTCACTGCAACTTCTGCCTCCTGGGTTCAAACAATTCTTCTGCCTCAGCCTCCCGAGTAGCTGGGACTACAGTCATGTGCCACCACACCCAGCTAATTCTTGTATTTTTAGTAGAGACAGAGTTTTACCGTTTTGGCCAGGCTGGTCTTGAACTCCTGACCTTGGGATCTGCCTGCCTCAGCCTCCTGAAATGCTGGGATTACAGGCGTGAGCCACCTCGCCAGCCAACTGCTCACTACCTTAATTCAGTCTGGAGTGTGTGTATGCGGATCGAAGGGGGCTGGTTCCAGCTGAGGACTGCATGATTCCTAGCTCTGGAGCAGTCAGCACCAGGGGTGGTGAGCCAGGCCCAAGGAGATAGATACTGGCCTCTTCTGGGGACTGCCAGTGACCTCTGCTGTGTTCCTCTATATCCCATGTGGGAACGACTCCCTGGCTCAAGTTGCACCATGACTTCTGTCTCACTCCATCTCCAGCAGAGACTGTGCAGGTGAGGCTCCAGCGGTGGTATGATAAGAAAGTTTCAGGCAGAAAAGTTTGAGGAAGGAGGTTTTAACGTCAAGTTGGAGATTCCCTTTATCCACATCTGCCCCTATATTTGGCCAAACCCAGGCCCTCTCCTCCAGTCCTCACCTTGAGGCATACGCTTCCAGAGCACACCTTGCCAGTATCAGAAGGCTGCATGGATGCCATCTTGGAGGGGTGTGGCCTGCAGTACTCCCATCTGGGTCCTCCTCTCTAAGGGCATGAGAATGAAATGAGTAGGTACCTGGGCCAAAATCTTTCAAAAGGCAGCATCCTCTCCACTGGCACTCCCACATCCCATGTCTTCGTTCCTCTGCCGGTCCCCTCCTGTTTTCCATCTATCCATCCTCTCTCCCTCCCTGGCCACCCTCTTCATATTCTGGGTCTCACGCACTATCAGTACAAACTTCCAGGTAAGAACAGTCTTCAGGCAAAGAGGCAGCGTGTGGAGGGAGAGCTGAACATAGTCTCAGACAGCTACAAAAATTGAATGGACTGACAGGTGGACAGGCTAGGAATGGGGGAAGTTCAACTGCTTCCTGGGAGGAGTTCTGGAATCCTTGGAAGACGACAGCATGGAACCAGTTTCAGACAGTTAGGGCTGGCAAGTCCAGATCCTTTCCCGGGAAGCCACTGTATACCCAACTCACAACGGGGGGATGTCCTTTCTATGATACAGATCCTCCTCCTGGATACAGATCATCTCCAACCAGGTAGATGAGGTGAAGGAAGAGAAGCCAGTCTTTCCCATCCTAATTCTTGTCCTCTTCCAGTTCACAAGCAGATCCTAATAATGATGCCAAAAAAAAATCAAGGGCCCCACTGAAAAGACAAATGCCCCATTTAAACATGGGCAAATCTGAACAGACATTCTCAGAGAGGATCAACAACTGGCCGATAAGCACATGGAAAGATGCTGAACTCCATGAGCCATCAGGGAAATGCAGTTCAAAACCACAATGAGACTGTGTGTGGTGGCATGTGCCTGTAATCCCAGCACTTTGGGAGGTTGAGGCAGGTGGATCACTTGAGGTCAGGTGTTCAAGACCAGCGTGGCCAACATGGTGAAACTCTCTCTCTACTAAAAATGCAAAAATTAGTCAGGCACGGTGGTGGGCACCTGTAATCCCAACTACTCAGGAGGTTGAGGCAGGAGAATCGCTGGAACCTGGGAGGTGGAGGTTGCAGTGAGCCGAGATCGCGCCACTGCACTGCAGCCTGGGCAACACAGCGAGACTCTCTCAAAACAAAACAAACAAACAAAAAACCACAATGAGACACCCTTCACACACACTAGAGTGGCTACAATCAACAGAATGGTTAATAACAAGCGTTGGTGAGGATGTGCAGAAATTAGAATGTTTCTGTGCTGCTACTGGGAATGCAAAGCAGTGCAGCTGCTGTGGAAATAGTCTGGCAGTTTCTCAAAATATTAAACAGACTGGGCGCGGTGGCTCATGCCTGTAATCTCAACACTCTGGGAGGCTGAAGTGGGTGGATCATCTGAGGTCAGGAGTTTGAGACCACCCTGCCAATACGGTGAAACCCCTGAAATACGAAATACTGAAAATACAAAAATTACCCAAGCATGGCAGTGCATGCCTGTAGTCCCAGCTACTTGGGAGGCTGAGGCAGGAGAATTGCTTGAACCTGGGAAGCAGTGGTTGCAGCGAGCCAAGATCGCACCATTGCACTCCAGCCTGGGTAACAGAGCAAGCCTCCATTTCAAGAAGAAAAAAAAAGTTAAACAATCCAGTGACCATATGACCCAGCAAGTTCCTCCTAAATATATATTTAAGAGAAATGAAAACAGATATCCACACAAAAACTTGTATGTGAATTTCATAGCTGTATTATTTGTAATAGCTACAAAGTAGAAACAACTCAAATGTTCATCAATTGACGAATGG